TGTCTTTTAGCAAACTATTTCTGAATGATCAATAATTGTGTTATTTATTAGATACGAAACAACTTCAGAGCTCGAATTCTTTCACGTACATGTCTGATGATCAGAGTAGAATCACTGGGTCATTCATTAAAAAAACCCCACCCAAATTCGAACAAATTATTGCAAAATAAATAAATAAATAATAATAGAATAAAATTAAAATAGAAAAAAATAAAAAAAAAAACTACACAGATGCGTAAGAGAACTGACCAACTGCAGGGAGAAGTAGAGCAGGTGTTCCGCAAGGGTAAGCGTCTTCCGCTTCACCGACTATACCCATCATGTAAAGCTTCGTTAACCCAAATAATTAATATCACGTTCCAAATGAGGCCAAGATAAACAACTAGTCAACCATTTAACATAGTAACGAGCATCAAACACTCCATATCGCAAAATGAAATAGAACATTTCTCAATATATTTTACTTACCTAAATCTCAAACAAACTTTTTTAAAAAGTCGTTTAGATATCATGTTATTTTTACCTTTAATCTTTTACCAAATAATGATAAAAATTGCTCTCTACATTTATCAATTGAAAGATCTGTACAACAATGTTTAATCGGGTCAAATTTTAATGTAAATATTACAAGGATGTAGATATTGTATATGTCATCATATACCTTATATTGAGCATGTGAAAGATGGTTTGATCAATATCTCATTACCAAGAATATATAGAGCTTGTTAATATTCCTTCTTGATAATACTGTATACCATTTATCACATGCCATTCCTACGTTACCATCCCTTTGAACACTCGTCATTGATAGTAATTTCTATTTGCGATTTTACAATTTTTATAACATCAATTTCTGATAAAGTTCTCGTCATGTATGGATACCATCAGAGCAGTGTTGTGTACGTCGAGCTCACAAACGACTCTTAAAATTTATTTTACGTGAAGTATACATTTCATCTAGCGCTTGCAAGTATGAAATATTTACACAGTTCTTCTGTTCTTAAACCAAACGTTAACAAAAGAAAGATATGCAGATTATTACAAAATCTTATGTAGGATAACGTTGGTATGTTGCAGAGAGTTCCTTTGCACTTTTCCATTATGTTTTGCCCAAAATTAGTTTTCAGGTTTTTACACGTTGCTCATATCCTTCTCTACAATATTACTTCGCCACACGTGAAATAATGGTTGGCTGATTGGCGAAAAGGGGCTGGTAATTTAGGCAGCATGAATGTCTGTTTTTTATCACAGCGTGAAACTCGCGTGAGTAACTGTTTGCACGTGCTGTCAGATAGAATGCGCATGCCTCAGTTCAAGAAGCATTGCCTACTGATCTGTTGCCTTTCAATGATATTAATTAATGATGACGTCCATGCCACCGTTTAATAAATTGCTGTGCTAACAAGGTGTTTCTTCAGTTAGCGTGAAGATGAACTAATTACCACAAGTCTGATAGGAAAATCTACTATTAAAGGGAAAACCCTGCTGTGTACCTACATTTCGTTTTATATCAAGAAGTTTGATGTCCTTATTATCAGGAACATGGCATGTTTCCAGGTATATATTTTGTTACAAGTAACTTATTAATTGATAATTCTGTAGGAGTAATAATGTCTTATGTAAATTATAAATTAATTTCCATTCATTAACTACAGTGTTTACATCGATGATGATAAAAGGTCATTAAGATCAACCGTTCGGATGTATTTGGTGTGAGTAAGACAAGCCACGTATATAATGCAGTGAAAGGACAACGGTTTCAGCAAGATATTCGTGTCAGATTGCTAACAAAATGAACGAGGGATTTAAGTGGAATTGCAACACGTATTACGATATATAAAATACCAATGATACACAAGAAAAAAATCCGGAACTCATTATTGCTCTGCTTGTAAGAGGTTTTTTTAAAGAAAGGTAGACAGCAGTGCAATTATATAGTTGTAAAATATGCTGAATCGTATTTCCTTAAAAAATACGTTCAAATGAAAGAAGAAAAATATATGAAAGAAAAAACTGATGGAATTTCTGGTTGACAAAACCCTCCACGAGTTCGACTTTAAGATCACCATGCCTATGGGAATGAACAACTCTCCTATTTTGGCTGACTTTTGTAGTTTTCATACGAGGCGGAATTTACCAAAGAACTTATCAAAACTGGTCACAAAGACCTTATGAAATCCTCCAATTTCACATTCAAATATGTATACAAGAAATATGTTAGTTATGTCTATCGTATAGACATATCTGAATTACACAAAAGGGTTTCAAGAGATGCATGTTGAAAAAATATTAAACGAAATCAACAAGGACAATTTTTTTACCAACCTCTATGATAAGCGTGATGATTTCAAATTCCCCATTGAATTTTCCATCTCTTGATATCAACATGCCTGCACCCTAATCCCTCGGCATAAAAGATGTAATGCCGAGAACAAACCCATGAACAGGAATCAGCAGTGACATATAAATACCAAATGTTGGGGATGCATGTCTGTTGCTCTCCAGAAATGGAAAAAAAATGCAAAAGGGAAATGGAAGCCGTGGGAACAAGAGAGAATTACAAAATATAAAAAGAATTGATAGGTCTGGTATGAAAAATAAGAAAATATTGACCCAAGATGGAGATTCATTTTGCATTATTTGTACCATAATATTTCAGGAGATACAATCGCTTAGCTTTCTTCACACAAATTTGCAGCTTCGTACACAACATCACCAAATGAAGCAAATGATTTAACATATTGCCCCTATTTCTTTCAAGTCTGGCTTCGCATCTGAGATAACATTAACAGTCTGAAGATTCATTCAAAAATCTCTCTGTGATCTACAGTGCTACATAGATCCTTTCCCAGTGATGTAATGTAATTTATTAGATGTGTATATCTCTGTAAGCTGACTTCAAGCTTAATGTACTTATTGCTATCCTCGTCGTTTAAAAAAAGATAAAAAATTGTAGCCCACAGTTTTTTTTTCTATCAAAAAAATTGAATAAATCCGGGTTTAGACGAAGCCATAACCATCATTGCAAAGATAAAGCTTTCAGATGATGAGTGTTAATGATTTATATACTGTGCGATAAACAAGCTGCGATCCAAACATTCGTCTGACGTTATTGATTCGGTCGGACAGTCTAGATTTTTGTTATCAGATGCAATGGCATTTAATCATAAGTCTGCTTTAAGAAAGCTGTGGTGATTTCTTATACAGCTTAACAACTTTTTTTCTTGTGAGTTATGACCATTCACCTAAAGTACTGTTAACTTCGAACATTGCTCAATGCAAAAATATTAAACGAAATATGAAATGAAGTACAAAATTTCTGATTTTATTTATATTAAATAAAACATGTTGAGGTTAACCAATTAGGTATATCAAAGAATTAACTTTGTTTTTTTCCTTTGTCAATATTTATCTTTCCATGCTAAATGAGCTTCAAGATGACTACACATTCAAATTCCACGAGTAGACTCGGTGCCATGGTGTCATAAGCAAATTAGCTAATGAAATGTTCTTTTACAAGTTATCGATCTTTCTCTACAACGACTGATTTTTGTCATACAAATATTAAACATATTTGAGAGATGTTTCCTCTGTGTATCAAACAGGATCATTTAATAGATACACAGCACGCTTGATTGACAGAGCGTAATGGTTATTCCGGGCCACTTCTATGTAATGAACAGATATCCTCCCAATGCGACTAGTGCCTAACACGATCTAGAAATGATTAGAATATGGATATTCACATCTTTCAGATATATTCTGCTATAAAAAAACCGAGTGTTTCGAAACATATTCAATAATTATATCCCGGTATAAATTTGCGATGGAATCAAGTACGATACTTTTCATTTTCAAACGCGTTGTTAAAAAGCTGCGTTATATGTAAATGCGTTGTTGATCTGGAGAAGATTATTTTATGTTGAGTTTTTCACCTTTTTTTATTTAATGCCGAGTGATTCAGCCTAGTTGCTGGTGACATGCGGTTTCTCCAGCAATGTTTGCTTATTATCTTTCCTGTTGATATTTTTTTTACTAATTGCGGGATTTTTCCGATGTATGTTTGTCTCGGAAGGATACACTGTTATCGAGATGTTGAACTTTTTACTCAATAACCGTTAGGATGTACAACTTAATAGTCAATTAAGATTTTGATGGAGATATTGGAAGATTCTGGTAAATGTAATAAACAGTTTAAATACTTTATGTTAATTACTTGAAACACAGCACAAGGCTTTTATCTCATAAATCAACAGCCACGATTCCTGCGACAAATTATCACACGCTTTTAATCCATCAAAACAACACATCTATCACAAATACAGTCATTATATATATTTATACGGAGACCACTGAAAAAGTACAAGAATGAGACAAGGTGTTCCAGAAGACAAATTGTTTTCTGCTTCACTGATGATACCCGGCATGTAAATCTGAGTCAATACAAGTAAGCAATGCCACGTTCCCCATGTGAGAACAAGGTAAACAACAATGGAACTACCAGTAATATCAACGAGCATAATACACTCCATCTTCATTTCGCACCAACTGATAAAACATACCCCAATGAGATTATTATGACGACATAACATTGATGTTGAAACGAGAATGGATGTTTCTCCATAACATTGATGTTGAAACGAGAATGGATGTTTCTCCATAACATTGATGTTGAAACGAGAATGGATGTTTCTCCATAACATTGACGTTGAAACGAGAATGGATGTTTCTCCATAACATTGACGTTGAAACGAGAATGGATGTTTCTCCATAACATTGATATTGAAACGAGAATGGATGTTTCTCCATAACATTGATATTGAAACGGATGTTTCGGAAGATTGTTTGCTTGACTGATTTCTTTCTTTCTCTCTTTATTTATTTTTGTTTATTTGTTTATATCTGACATCATACAGAAAACGTGTATGACATCATTTCTTTTGTGTTCACATTATATACCTCTGTATGTATGACTAATATCTGACATTATTTGATTTCAGGGTTGAACATAGTGTTCCGGAAGATGGCTGCTGTAGCCAAACCTGTTATAGAATTCACCGTTGAAGATAACGTTGTAAATCTCATATCAAAAGTCAGCTTCTTCAACCAAGTAATGACCTTTAAACTTAACGAAGAGTACACACAGAGCTTTGAGGGGTTAGATATGAATGTAAGTTGATATATTCCTGACAATTATCATTAACCTGTTACTCTTTTTGAGAACGTGACAATAGTTGAATTGCCATGGCTTCAGATGTTGAGTGTCGTCATTGAAGCAGAAGACGCTTAACATTTTGGAACCAGAGAGTACACATGATCATATTCTCACGTTTTTTCAAAAATCTCTTTCGGATATTACTACCAGATGTTGAGGCGAAATCACATTTTAAAAAAATGATACGGTTCTACAGCTACCTTTATTTCAACCTAATGTTCGTTTCAATGGACCACTGTTTCGTCATTGATTTCATTCTTTTCTAAATCAATGACAGTATCATTGTTTGACATGTTGCTAAGAGTGTACAAGTTTATTTTAAAATGCAATTCTATTTTAGTAATTGATACTGTAAGGCTATATGATTAAGTAAACTCCATCACCGAGATATTTCATCCTCCTAGGACTCGTCAGTGATGCTGGGAACCTAACTGTGTGCGTCTGAAGAAAATTAAAATTGATCGGAAGACTTATTTGTCCTATTTTAATGTACAAAGCCGTAAGATCGGAATTCTGTTTGTTCTAAATATAGAGCTATGCCAGAGTAAAATACTCTTTCTAATTCCAGTGTTATTCAAGGTGGGAAGACAAAAAACTGATAACGGACGCCAAACCCGTGGTAGAAGGGAAAGGGAAACCTCAGCGATTCCAGAGGGAGAGGATTAATGATGAACTAGTACAGGTTGTTCTATATAAAAAAAAATCCATGGTGTAAAACAGAAATAGATGTTCTATTGTTTTGAAATACTCTGATCTATAAATTAAAGGTTTGAGGTAAAACGTAGTTGATAACGTGTACATCTAGGAAGTGTCTATTCTACGTTAAATTTTTTGTATAGCATAAGTATCCCTAAATCTGCATTAAATTTTATACTCTTCCGAAATCTCTTGGAGCATATTGTTGTAAAGTACTTAAATTAGTTGTGCAAATCTTAAAAATTATCACCGAAGTTTTACCGAATTTTGGTCGGAGGAAACACCGGGTCTCTTAACCACTAGTTAATTTTTTTTACTAGTTGTAAATCATTCTGAAATATTCGCAGATCGGCAGAGATATTAACGTTTTCACCAACTTAACATTATGATATTTTCGATATTTTCTGTGTTTTAAATTTTGATTTTCATCAACGTCTGCACGTTGCGGCAGGCAATGCTTTTTAGCAGCGAATGAAATGAAATAATTTTTCCTTTGTTTATTTTCAGACAATGACTGTCGGTGATGTGGTTTGCACGAGAGTATTTACAAGGGTTAACTGAGAGAGACGAATTACTTTGACCACAGAATCAGCCGAGTTACGTCCGATAATGCTGATATACGAGTTATCTCCCTTTAACAGCCACCTACCGATAAGAACTTCAGGATTTCAACAAAAAACATAGTTCTTCGTTACAATTTGTTCCATATGTACGTTGTTTTTTTTAAACAAAATGAAAATCCAAAAATTCATATTTATATCGTAAAACATATAATATTGATGGATATTTATACAAAAACATTAAGGTTGAAGTGGCACAATAAGGTTTTCGCTTACGATAATAGAGACCAACTGTTTGCAATATTTTTGCTATTTTTTTTTTTTTAGATTTTTTTTAGATTTTTTGTACGTAAAACTATAACGAAATAATGACGATAAGACAAAGGTTAGTGTTGTCTGACTCGTTTACAATACCTTAACATGCATATGTCTGCATTACAAAGTGTAATTCTACACGTAATAGACTTTGTGACTTACCAACACTCACCAATTTTTTTCAGGGAGTAGTCTGGCCTTTTATTTCTCCTAACCCCAATTTTGGTGTCCTTAGATTCTGTATATGACATAAGATATTGTATTTATAAAACTGAATAAGTTTTTTTCATTTTTATTTTTTTGTGGGAAGAGCGTTTATGAAGGTTTCACAAGGACACAACAGGAACAAACGTTAATTTCAGTTTATCTATAATTTATGGCTATGCTTTCTTTTCAATTGTTCAGAAATTCGATCGTGATAAGTAACAGACTTTTAAATACATGGTATAGCTTACATTGTGTAATGTTGGGATGGTAAGATTTATCCTCCAAAAACCCAGATATAGAGTTCCAATGTCTGATATTTGGTTATTAAAAGTGTCCAGATATAAAGAATTCCAATGTATGATATTTGGTATATACCTTTAAGATATTCGTTATTAAAAGTGTCCAGATATAAAGAATTCCAATGTCAGACAATAAGTATGTACTTGTAATTTTCCGATATTCGATTTTAAAAGTGTCTGGATATGTATGGTTTCAGCTTTTTATGTCATAGATTCAGTTCAATAAATAGTTCTTACGTGAAAATAAACCGAATATAACAGATAACTATGTCAAACGTTCCTGACTCGGCCATGTTAAAACGGTAAACGTGAGGAGTTAATTAATCCGATGTAACACGTATTCCGATCTCTGATCCGGATATATACGATTCATAATTCAGATCCATTAGTGTCCCTATTGGTACATTTCCTAGGTCTAGTGTTAAAGTGTCCACATTCGCATAGTTCCTAGGTATGCTGTAGTGATATCCAGACTTGCACAAATCGTGGGCCTGATGTTAAGCAGTTCAGATAACTATGGTTCCTGATATAAACGTGAAAGTGTCCAGATTCAATGGACCCTGGGTTTGATGTAATACTGTCCAGATTCATGTAGATCCTTATCCGGTTCCTAGGGCTGGTGTAAAAGTGTTTATATTAAGATAGTTCCGATGCCTGCTAAATCCATCCATACACAGTTCGGAAGTCAGACTTGGAAATGTCAGGATATGTACCATTCATGTTACTTGACTTTATAATAACCAGACATGTTCAGTTCATATTATTTCATGTAAAAGGGTCGAAATACACGTGAACATGTTTTAAAGAATCTAATGTTTATTGTTTTTTTCCGTACGTGGATATACCGGTATTTGGACATCTACAGAATTAGTCATTTCAATTTTAACAGCGCGATAAAATGATGACATGAAATAAAAACATTAAAATAAATATCCGAAACGCAAATCTTTCACACTTAAACGATCAATAATATGTGTCAGAAATATCCGAAACGCAAACATGACAACGATCAATGATATGAATAATTTGTGTCTGACGTAATATTTACTCAATATCAAATCAAACAAGTCGCAATTTGTTTTACTTGACAAGTTAACATAACAAATAAAAACTTAGTAATGCTTGTATGTTATACATAAGTATTACAATATGATGATATTGCTGTTTGCGATACTGACATCGGGTACATGAAAAACATCTGTACACAAATATATGTATGTATTGCTTCGTTTGTAACGCTAGCCTTGGCCTGTTGTGTCTTACTTGTACTGTATCATTACCATAATTTTCTAAAGATCTTTACAAATTTATATTTAAACCTATTATCATAAATTCATTCTTATGACAATATTTGGTACAGTTAACTGTACATGGTATAAGTTCATCTGGCTTAAAAGCTTTTTATCTGTTCTTGGTATTCTATGTAGTGTGTATCTGTCTAGTTACATGTGTCCTGATTACAGTCATGGTCAATTTAATGCGACTACATGTCAAAGATAAATATTATACCATAATTATCTTTAGTCCAAGCACAGTGAACGCTTCATATCTGTTATCCTAAACATGACAAATGCTTCTTACGTCGCGTCATGAATAATAGCGTACCTGACACTTGGATTGACCTAGATTTACACGGCGGATGAAGCAAAAATATTCTCACCATTCTGGAACACCTGGTCTTAATCTCCTTGTACTTGTTCAGGAGTCTCCGTGTAAATCTTTTGTTTATATTTCACCCTATTTGCATTGTAATTTTAATTAAAATTCTTCTGTCGACAGGTCGGTTATTTTCCTATTTGTGTTATTAGACAGGTTACTAAATATTGAAAGGGGGGAACTTACATGCTTCTTATGCTAATTGCGTTGTTATTGTGTGAACTGTACCAAGCTTATAAAAAGTATTGCAGAATAGATTTCAAACTTTTTTTTTAAACTTTTATCATTAAAAATCTTAATTCTAGATACTACAGGAGATATATAGTTCTCTTTCATAAGACGGTTGTTTTGTCAATAAACATCAGGCCCTTATACAATTTATCTAAATTTTAAAAAAAAAATCATATCATTAAAAATCACACAAATTATTAATCTCAGGTAAGATTACCCTTGGAAGATCTAATATCTACAATGTATTAAAAATGTACTTCACGTCAGTATTACACAGGTTATATAAACTGTTGTTGACAGAAATCTTTGGTCAGGATTGTCTTCCGGTTTTTTAATTCAAGGGCAGATAACCCCCTCTAAAATGAATTCAATAGTACTTTTTTTGAAACATAAATTTGTTACTAGACAAACACATATATGTCAGCGTCAAGAATGACTCGGAGGATGGAATTAAATTCCTGTTTGGACTCACTTTTGTTTGTATCTATTCGATCAGCCCAAATATTTGTTACAATCAATTATTTTGGTTAATTTATATCATCCCATCATATCTCTGACATGAAGGATATACATAGTCGTCTCCTCTAACTTGGTGTTACAAGCGACAGACCTTAATACTGTTGGTGTGGTAAGATGCTTTGTGTTAATAAATAAGTGATGTAGAAGTTATCATTGTGTTTTCTTATGTTGATATGTTTGAAACTTTTTGATTGGAATTAGGGTATTTAATATTGCCACACTTGTTATATACATGTATACGGACCGAATAGATGAATAGAATCTGTTACTTGTAACTGAGCGAAATCCTGTAACATAACCCCAAACGAGGCGTTAGACGAGATTAGGATGTTACGGGATCTTAGCCCGAGACAGTGACAGGTAATAATTTCTTTTCTCGCACCTATTTCTCTGAAAATTACTCAATATTTCATCATAGTTTAGCGTGTCCCGTGGGAGCCTCAAACTATCCACACAGCCTCTTTACTCGTCAACAACGTTTGGATAGTGCCGCGTTAACAATGTAGGACGCACTTACAAATGAGGGGTCACATTTTCTATTTCATTTTAAATATGATTAATTAAATAGATTGTCGTTGAAATTTTAACAACGACAAGACCTATGTTTTTGTTGCACGGGTGTAGGTGCCACCTACGCATACACGCGGATGAATACACCGATCCGTAAAAAATCCGCGAAAACGCTTGTAAGGGAACTAGACAGACCGAGCGACACATTACTAGTGACACATGAAGTCTGCAACTCGATCATCTGACAAAACGGTTGGTATATATTTCCATGCAAGTCTACGACATCTTCAGATCTGATATAGATCTTTTAGATAACACAGTATCATGTTCGATGTTTGACGAAAAGACGGCGTTTCTGAAACAGCCCTTCTGTATCTGTAATTTAAGTCATAAACCCCCAGCTGGGCTATGATATGACTTTGATCGGTCATATTTTGCAGGCAGGGTTTTTGGCTATCAAACCAATTGTTTTATATAAAAGTTTAAAACAGTAGACATATAAAGTATTCGAGTATATGATCGTTTCGTCAAACGAAAGACATCTTTACTCTATCATTATATATATAAAGAAGCTAACATCACGATGAAAACAATATGTTCGGTATCTATGAATCCAAAGAACATCATTCAAATACAAGGTATATCATAATTGTTCAATTCAAAGAGGAGTTTGGCTCGTTCGGCGGTAACTGGAATAAAATGGTTTGTCGGTTAGGGAGCTTTGTGCTACTATGGTAACCGGTGATAAAAAATATTTCCGACACCATTTTGTAATTTTTTTTTTATGTTTTACTCTACTCACATACCATTAACATAATTTGTCACGGATCAGTACATCTGATGTAATGTGTGCATTGATACGTGTTTTTGTTCTAATGTAAAAAAAATCATCTGACTAAAAAACCTATATGCAAGGGGCCAAATAGGCCTAAATATTACTCAACTACTCCACAACTTACACAGAAGACATTGCTGTTGATTCATTAAGGCATTTTCAGCAAACTTGAAATATATTTTTGATATACACAAATGTCATTACTCCGGACCTATTGTTTATTGAAAAAGATCTCAACTCATTTGACCAAAAATACCTTGAATATAGGTCAAGGTCAATTATTTAAATAGATCTGGTAACGCCTCATCCACTTATGTTAAAGAACCAATATCAACAGCCTGGACCATTTCATTATTGAGAAGAAATCGCTACAAGATTTGAACACTTAAAAGCGGGTCATAATCGTCCATTTTTACAAACTTGGTAGTCCTTGATACCAGCATGTTACAGACCCAATATCAGCACCCTGGGTCTTTTTGTTATTGAGAAAATGCCGTTTAAATATTTCAACACATTTGACGTCTATGATCTTCAAGGTCAGTAATATGAACACACCAGGTAGCACTTCATCCCAGGATGCTACAGGGCCAATATCAGCAGCCTGTGTCTTTTGTTTATTCAGAAGAAGCCATCTAAACATTTATACATATTTGTCACCTGCACCTTGAAAAGTGGGCCAAGGTAATTAATGTTAATCTACTTGGTAGCCCTTCATCCCAGCAGGCTACAGACCCAATATCGGCACTCTGTGTCTTTCGGTTATTGAGAAGAAGCCGTTTGAATGGAAAGTTTACGCACGGCGGATTGCGGTCGGAGCAAGGCGTACGATGACGGACGAAACACAATGGATATAGGTCATATGACCTAAAATATGGCTGAATTTAATGAATGGAATATTGCACAAGTCTTGGCATTTGTATTGGCTTGATCATACAGCTGTTCCATCTATCTGGTTTCTACGATGATTGAAATTGTGAGAAAAAAAAGTGTCATTGCTTTTTCTTAAATTCTATTTTTTCTATAATTTAAATATATGAATATTTTCCCCTTTTTAAAAAAAAATCACAGCTATCTACATATCCCATGATTTACGATAGCGCACTTTCATTTTATATATGACTTCTGATGGTCAGAAAGTGTTTTCGTAAAGAGTGATAATTTAGCAACCTAAGCTGCAGCATTGAAACTTTCACTGACAATAGCCTTTCCTAAATACAGCGATGTGGCCGTAGAAGATGTGAAACTCACACACATTTGAATGGTATTTAACATGGGCGAAAGGTTTTTAACAAAGAGCTTATATGAGACTGTCACTCATGCTACGAAGGTTGATAGTCAAGGGTAGATAGTCAAGGGTTGTGATGAGAAATAAAGAATGCTGTATCAAATGAGAATCCTGGAACTGTTGAAAATGATAACGTTGTGGGGGGGGGGGGGGGGTGTATTGGACAGAACAGAAAGAAATCTGTGCAAATGTCTGTTATCGCTGCACAAATTGACATGAGCAAGGAGGAACCTATAGTGCCAATCGGATATGTTAAAGGCGTGGGCTGTCAGGTCATTTTAAATAGGAATGTCCAAGCACATTAAGACAGAGTGTTCATCATTCTCGGGGCAGTTTTAGGGGTAAGCAATAAATCGGTTACCGAGGTGGGACAACTGGACGAAACGGCTTGGGTAACTATAGCAGGGAATGCCCAAATCCTTTGAACAATGATGTTGCTGATACTGTGGAGGATGGGATATCGGCAGTGTTATTCAGTAACTTCTATGCTATGATTTATAAAGGCCAAGGTGCAGTTTCGGGGAAAGCAGAGATATTTCATCCTGTCTATATTACCAGGGATATGATGCAACCTGCAATTATGGTTTTTTACATCTACCTGCTACGATTAATATGCCAGAAAAGGCAATTGCGAAGCAAGTGCGTGGTTCCTTTTACTGCCAAGGTGGAAAGTTTCCCCTAGATTATGTAGCGCACTAATTCTTTCTGACTGGAGATATTTTGGGGTGTAGTTGAACCAAGGAAAAAAGAAGATAATGGTGTTGATTTTATGCTTGCGAGAACTGTTACTTCAGCCATGGAATGTATAGCTTTTGTTCACATGATAAACGTTGATAAGCCAGTCATGTTAAAAAGTAATAGCCCTATTGGGCCATTTTAAACAACTTTGAATTCTGCATCGCATTGTTTCACTGAAACATTCCGGGTGTACTATAGCTTACAGATGATAATACATAGATACAAGTATATCAATAATCAGAGGATGAAGTTGCTAGTGTGTAATTGAACTAGACAATATAAGATGCAACACAAAGAAATGTGTTATTTAACAAACTTCATTATAAATGGGAGCGAGGGGATTTGTATCGTCTATGATGCCGTATTTTCCTCGATAATATAAACATTTTCCAATAACTATAACTAAACATTTGCAACCAGAGAAATTAACCTATCATATTTGATGAATTTAAAATAAGCAATGTCCTTCATCTGTTAAATCCTGTTTACGGTTTATATAACTTTTTGTCCCAATGTAAACTATTTTTGTCCTTGACAATCTTACGTCCTCTTTTTGAAATTTGCCATGTGTTGTTAACTGCGTTGAGAAGGCTTTCCCAAACGATATGAGTGAAAACCTGGACATTAGAAACGGGCCGTGAATATTGATATAGTATCAGAATATAAGTGAGATGTGAAAAACAAAAAAAGACAAAAATCACATAAAGGACAATGAAATTATATCAAGGCAATCTTCTTTCTTGTATACTGTTAGGTGGACTGTGCAATATGTTAACACAAACACTGCGTCATTTAACAAACAAAACTACTTCCTGACAACAGTCTGTGTTGTAGTAACACAAAGTCTATGGGAGACGACTGTCAAAATGGGATACCTTTCAAGCGCGCTGGTTTTACTAGTTCTGATCCTGCAATTTCGCGGTGAGTTAATTTTTTTCTAAGGTTGTTTCCAGAATGGTAATATTTGTGTCCACTTTGTGGTCAAGTCATGTGCCAATGATATCTTAATATATAATATATTATACTGCTTGCTAAAAATTGTTAACCATTTTTTGACATGGTATAGAACGTATGGTCACACAACGCACTAATCAACCCAATCTTGATTTCCTTGTTCGTCGCCTTGGTTTCAACGCTTTGGCCCTTAACATCATCTCTAGAAGACTAAAAAAGCAAAATATAATGACGGTTTTTACAACTCGAACAGGCTAAATTTCAACACTGTTACTAAGTGATATTGGACAGTCATAAATAAGTTAGGCGAAAGATAAAAAGAAAGAGACAAAACCAATCCGTTCTGAAAGGAGAATGCTTGGTATATTTGTACTACTAGAGAGCGCGGTTAAAGTAGTGCATATTATCTCCATATCTTGTGTGCATACAGATCACAGAAAAAAAATCACTTCAATAATTCTAGTCCTGAAACGTGTTTACTATGTTTTTAATCAGTTACCACAATTTGAATGCATAAAAACTACATGTAAAATGTATAAAGGCTTGTTTGCGCTCCAGTATGACGTTACCACTAATGTGTTCATATAGACAATATAATGTTTTCATGGTTGTGTGGCAGTGTATATAGTAGTTAGGAAGTGTCATTCTGGGTCAGCTCCCTCTTGCTGTAGGGCCTTGTCAGCTGGAAGACACCCTACGGATACCTAGCTGGCCTTTTCTTGACATATCAGTAGGTAGTTGTTTTTGTTTTATAGTCTGTTTTGTATCTTGTCAAGTAGTATTATTTGTAAAATGATATATATGTTATCAAAATGTACATAATGAGTA